ATTATTTATTGAAGTTTAAAGTCTCAGCTTTGAGACGATAAACGTGCACTTTATTACTATTATTAGTCACTTTTATCATGATGTATTTTGTGACGTGTGAATAGATGTGTTTTTGCTTCTGGACCCCTGACTTTATCATCAGTAAAGTAAATTCATATTTTGAGACGTCGTGAATAAAAAACACTTTGAATTAAAAACTACTGAAGCGGAAAATGCAGAATGGTTTTTGTCCATTCATTAAAAAGTCGTTTCAAATGTACCTCAAAGTAACTGCACATGTAGTACTGCGTGTATTTGTTAGTACTGCGTGTATTTGTTAGTACTGCGTGTATTTGTTAGTACTGGGTGTATTTGTTAGTACTGCGTGTATTTGTTAGTACTGTGTGTATTTGTTAGTACTGCGTGTATATGTTAGTACTGCGTGTATGTGTTAGTACTGCATGTATACGTTCATACTGTATATATACATGTGTACTGCATGTATACGTGTGTACTGCATGTATACGTGTGTACTGCATGTATACGTGTGTACTGCATGTATACGTGTGTACTGTATATATACATGTGTACTGCATGTATACGTGTGTACTGCATGTATACGTATGTACTGTATATATACATGTGTACTGCATGTATACGTGTGTACTGCATATATACGTGTGTACTGTATATATACATGTGTACTGCATGTATACGTGTGTACTGCATATATACGTGTGTGGATTCAGAGCTTGCACCAGTTATTTCTGGATCAAACACGGAACAAACTCTGGAACAAAAGCGTCGCACAGAGACAGAGCCACGTCCAAAAGGTAGAAATACAACAAAAAGGTCTCGTTATGATTCTCAAATCATTAACGACAAAACAAGGAATAAAACCAGGATTTCTATCTTTGTGAAAAAGGTGTTGGTTATAGATTTGTTGTTGACTAAACTCTTGTCTATTCAGCTGTTATGGTCCCAGCTGGATTCGTCTGCATATCTGGCAACCTGAGTCAGGGAGAGTGGGAGAGGCTGCAGTACCACTTTTGGCCACATGTTTACACACTGCTCCTTTAACAGCTTTAGCATTGAGTTAGAACTGTCTAAAAACCAGCAGAGAAAAGCTGGAAAAACACGATTAACAAAGACTTATTATGGAAATGGAATCGTCTTGCTCTCTAAAACCCTTTGAATATTTAACTCTGTGTACCGTTGGTCATGTGCCACGTGCAGAAAAGGCTTGCGCCACAAAAAAAAGCGTTTCTGTTTTGTGAAGCCGTTTTAAACTCTGCCCCAGTTCCTCGGCGCAGCTGAGAGGCTGCGTCCTGGACACCTGCGAAAGCACATATTGTGTTCTGTGAAACCCGAGCGCTTCGTCCTGAGTTCACATCAACCACGGATTTAGTGACGCAACATTCAACAAAGTGCTGTAGATCGTGCACTTTAACCCTCCAGGTGCCACAAGTTTATCCATAAAAGGCTCAATTTGGACATTTTGATTTCTTAATAACTTAAAAGGATTCCACCTCCGGGCCTTTCTGTGTTGAGTTCCTGAATTGTACATGTTTTTAATGGTATGGGAAACCGGAGCACCCAGAGGAAACCTTCGCAGACACAGGGAGAACATGCAAACTCCAAACAGAAAGGCCTGGGGGTGGAATCAAACCCCAAACCTTCTTGCTGTCCCACCAAGCCTCCCAAATAAGCAAGACCCTTCACTTAAGCAAAACAGAATAAAAAGGTCCTGGGTTCGATTCCACCTTGAGGCCTTTCTGTGTGGAGTTTGCATGTTCTCCCCATGTCTGTGTAAGTTTCCTCCAGGTGCTCCAGATTCCAGATGAAAGTGTAGAAAGTGTCCATGGACCTTTTCTGCTTCTTTGGTGCCTAAAGGGTCAGCAGCACACAAAATAAGAACCTCATTGTGCTTCAGTTTTTACAAGAAACACCCCAAAAATTAAATCAACAATACTGAAAAAAATTACGCAAGAGACAGGGGCATTTTGTTTATGTTATAAACCCGACACCGACAGAGTTTTACGGCGTGATATCAAAGTACGGACAAATCAAAGAGGCTCCAGTAGCTTTGGCACCTGCTCCTGTAGAAGGACGAGCTCATTTTTATCCACAGTTGCTTAAAAAGTGTTGTAAAAGATCAATTTTTACCAAAACTTTACTTTACTGCTCGGGCGGAACGGTGGCTGAGTGGTTAGCTCTCTCGCTTCTCAACAAGAAGGTTCGAATCCCGGTCGAAACAGGGCCTTTCTGAGTGTCTGTGTAGGTTTTCTCCAGGTGCACCGGTTTCCCCTGCCACTACAAACATGTACAATAGGTCTGAATGTAAATGAGTGAATGGTGTTTGGTCGGAGGTTTTGATGGACCAGTGTGTTCAGCATCTCACTTCTGTCATTACATTACAGTGTGGACGGAAAAATATCTGATTTCTGAATATTATAAAGCGTTTTGAGTGACCTTGGTCTGTAAAATGCGTTATATAAATAAACTATACTTACTTACTAACCTTGGACAGAGCTGGTCCAGACCCAGGGCCACATTCCAGAGGCCGAGGTCGGGGTCTGAAGAGCAGAAAGCCTTTGGAACAGACGGGACTCAATGAGACGTCTATGACAAGAATGTCACACATGCAGCTAAGCACACAGGGCTCAGAGAGGAGCTCCTGCCTGATCAACCACAGTGTATGCAGCAGGAGCAGCAGCAGGAGCAGCAGCAGGAGGAACAGCAGGAGCAGCAGCAGGAGGAACAGCAGGAGGAACAGCAGGAGCAGCAGCAGGAGCAGCAGCAGGAGCAACAGCAGGAGGAACAGCAGGAGCAGCAGCAGGAGCAGCAGCAGGAGCAACAGCAGGAGGAACAGCAGGAGCAGCAGCAGGAGCAGCAGCAGGAGCAGCAGCAGGAGCAGCAGCAGCAGGAGCAGCAGCAGGAGCAACAGCAGGAGGAACAGCAGGAGCAGCAGCAGGAGCAGCAGCAGGAGGAACAGCAGGAGCAGCAGCAGGAGCAGCAGCAGGAGGAACAGCAGGAGGAACAGCAGGAGCAGCAGCAGGAGCAGCAGCAGGAGCAGCAGCAGGAGCAGCAGCAGCAGGAGCAGCAGCAGGAGCAACAGCAGGAGCAACAGCAGGAGCAGCAGCAGGAGCAGCAGCAGGAGCAGCAGCAGCAGGAGCAGCAGCAGGAGCAACAGCAGGAGCAACAGCAGGAGCAGCAGCAGGAGCAACAGCAGGAGCAGCAGCAGGAGCAACAGCAGGAGCAGCAGCAGGAGGAACAGCAGGAGCAACAGCAGGAGGAACAGCAGCAGGAGCAGCAGCAGGAGCAACAGCAGGAGCAGCAGCAGGAGGAACAGCAGGAGCAACAGCAGGAGGAACAGCAGGTGCAGCAGCAGGAGCAGCAGCAGCAGGAGCAGCAGCAGGAGCAGCAGCAGGAGGAACAGCAGGAGCAGCAGGAGCAGCAGCAGGAGCAGCACCTGAACCACGCTGACTAATGTGGAGAACATCTGAGAATCTGAGATCCGCGTAAAGACGTCTAATTTATCTGACTTTTCAAATCACAGACTTGAATCACAATCACAAAGATACTAAAGGTGTAGGAGGATCTTCACTCATGTTAGAGCCTAGTCTTATCATACCATAGTACTAAGTTCATTTGTACTAAGGTCTGGATTAGCTCCACTGACTCCGTTAACAGGTGGGAGGGGCTAACTGCTTTTACAGAAACCATTGGATCTGAGTTTACTGTGACGTATGTAATGAGCTGATCATGGACCAGAGTTTACACATGGTAAGACCAGAGTTTACACATGGTAAGACCAGAGTTTACACATGGTAAGACCAGAGTTTACACATGGTAAGACCAGAGTTTACACATGGTAAGACCAGAGTTTACACATGGTAAGACCAGACGTACATGTAGGAAATGATCATGGACCAGAGTTTACACATGGTAAGACCAGACGTACATGTAGGAGATGACCATGGACCAGAGTTTACACATGGTAAGACCAGACGTACATGTAGGAGATGATCATGGACCAGAGTTTACACATGGTAAGACCAGACGTACATGTAGGAAATGACCATGGACCAGAGTTGACACATGGTAAGACCAGACGTACATGTAGGAAATGATCATGGACCAGAGTTTACACATGGTAAGACCAGACGTACATATAGGAAATGATCATGGACCAGAGTTTACACATGGTAAGACCAGACGTACATGTAGGAGATGACCATGGACCAGAGTTTACACATGGTAAGACCAGACGTACATGTATGAAATGATCATGGACCAGAGTTTACACATGGTAAGACCAGACGCACATGTAGGAAATGATCATGGACCAGAGTTTACACATGGTAAGACCAGACGTACATGTAGGAGATGACCATGGACCAGAGTTTACACATGGTAAGACCAGACGTACATGTATGAAATGATCATGGACCAGAGTTTACACATGGTAAGACCAGACGTACATGTAGGAGATGACCATGGACCAGAGTTTACACATGGTAAGACCAGACGTACATGTATGAAATGATCATGGACCAGAGTTTACACATGGTAAGACCAGACGCACATGTAGGAAATGATCATGGACCAGAGTTTACACATGGTAAGACCAGACGTACATGTAGGAGATGATCATGGACCAGAGTTTACACATGGTAAGACCAGACGCACATGTAGGAGATGATCATGGACCAGAGTTTACGGATGGCTAATGCTAATGCTAATGCTAGAGTAGAGAATCCAGTACAATTACTCAAATATACACATTTCTCTTTAGCATCTTTGAGATCGTGAAGTCAATAACAAGGAAAACAATTGTACATGGCCTGTTTCTTTACATGAATCTTGGTTCAATTCAGAAACATGATTTAGCCACATTAGCTTATGCTACACACATGATTTAGCCACATTAGCTTATGCTACACACATGATTTAGCCACATTAGCTTATGCTACACACATGATTTAGCCACATTAGCTCATGCTACACACATGATTTAGCTCCCCACAGATTGTCAGTGAGAATTACAACCCCCTTTGCAGGCCATTAAAACAAAAACCAAAAACAACTCTTTTTTTGATGCCAGTACAGTTTGTGACGTTGGTAAAAGCCCCAAAGAGTCTGTAATCTTGTCATAAGTTTCTGCAGGTGCACTTTTTGACACTTTTTTCCCTCTGATAAAGTGGAAAACATGTTTAATTGCAGCTGCCAGTCCTCAGCCCCCTGCAGAGCCCACTGCAGAGCCCACTGCAGAGCCCACTGCAGAGCCCACTCACACCTACGCAGCGTTTGACTTCTCTAAAAACAACACTTCATTTTTGGGTCACTGCTTTTCCACTTTCATTTTAAAGCTCTGCCGTTTTGTCGCACTCAAAGCACAAATACCTGTCATTTTGTTTAGTTTTGTTTTGTCTCATTTTCTTCACAGTCTGCTGCATCTGTCGGAAGTCAATGATGGAGAATTTTACTAATAAATACAGATTGTCATTGACTCAGATTCTTCAACCATTTGGTGGATCGCTTTTTGAGTCACTAAAGCAACTTAAAGGTTCCATATGAAAGTTTTTTTATGATTCCCTCAAGCTTTAGTCAGAGATAAACGTCCCGGCGCTTAAAGACAACTCCGCTACAGCGTCTGGTATCGATCGTGAAGCGAGCGCTCACGTCCCGTCGCTTAAAGACAACTCCGCTACAGCGTCTGGTATCGATCGTGATGCGAGCGCTCACGTCCCGTCGCTTAAAGACAACTCCGCTACAGCGTCTGGTATCGATCGTGAAGCGAGCGCTCACGTCCCGTCGCTTAAAGACAACTCTGCTACAGCGTCTGGTATCGATCGTGATGCGAGCGCTCACGTCCCAGGCAGCGTCCGGTTGATCGTGAAGCGAGCGCTCACGTCCCGTCGCTTAAAGACAACTCTGCTACAGCGTCTGGTATCGATCGTGATGCGAGCGCTCACGTCCCAGGCAGCGTCCGGTTGATCGTGAAGCGAGCGCTCACGTCCCGTCGCTTAAAGACAACTCTGCTACAGCGTCTGGTATCGATCGTGATGCGAGCGCTCACGTCCCAGGCAGCGTCCGGTTGATCGTGAAGCGAGCGCTCACGTCCCGGCGCTTAAAGACAACTCTGCTACAGCGTCTGGTATCGATCGTGATGCGAGCGCTCACGTCCCAGGCAGCGTCCGGTTGATCGTGAAGCGAGCGCTCACGTCCCGGCGCTTAAAGACAACTCTGCTACAGCGTCTGGTATCGATCGTGATGCGAGCGCTCACGTCCCGGCGCGCAAAGATAACTCTGCTACAGCGTCTGGTATCGATCGTGATGCGAGCGCTCACGTCCCAGACAGCGTCCGGTTGATCGTGATGCGAGCGCTCACGTCCCGGCGCTTAAAGACAACTCTGCTACAGCGTCTGGTATCGATCGTGATGCGAGCGCTCACGTCCCAGGCAGCGTCCGGTTGATCGTGAAGCGAGCGCTCACGTCCCGGCGCTTAAAGACAACTCTGCTACAGCGTCTGGTATCGATCGTGATGCGAGCGCTCACGTCCCAGGCAGCGTCCGGTTGATCGTGAAGCGAGCGCTCACGTCCCGGCGCGCAAAGATAACTCTGCCCGTTTTTGGGGATCATGCGCGCGAGCAAGCGCCGCACTCATCAGCATCTCTCCCGGGCCTAGGGCGCCAAACATACTCAATCAACAAACTTTTAACTGCATTTTCCCTCTTGGGTCTCTCCAAAGTGAAATGAAGCTCTTCGCGAAAGTTCACTGTGGTAGACCCGGCCACTGCTGCCAGATCTACAAGCTGCTCATCCTCTACTCATTACACCAGCAAAACGCCCACATCTAATCCACCAATAACCACCAGGACAGCAAGTTAAAAGCCGGAGACGCCCACTTTCCCGGCCTTCTGAAGTTTGCAAAGCCTCCGCCGCCCCACCTCCTCCTTCTCTCATCGAAGCGTGCTTGCCTACTGCCTCTGCCGTCACCAGTGCCTAGGCCCCGGGGGGGGATCATGCGCGCGAGCAAGCGCCGCACTCATCAGCATCTCTCCCGGGCCTAGGGCGCCAAACATACTCAATCAACAAACTTCTAACTGCATTTTCCCTCTTGGGTCTCTCCAAAGTGAACTGTCGGAAGTCAATGATGGAGAATTTTACTAATAAACACAGATTGTCATTAACTCAGATTCTTCAACCATTTGGTGGATCGCTTTTTGAGTCACTAAAGCAACTTAAAGGTTCCATATGAAAGTTTTTTTATGATTCCCTCAAGCTTTAGTCAGAGATAATCTTTCTTTTTCACTCTTGGGAGGCACAGAAGCGACTTGTTTCAATCCGTGACGTCCAAAGCCCGCCTCCGAGAGGTGATTGACAGCAGGAGAAACTGAACCAGCGAATTAGAGCTGTCTATGGTCAGCTGCACAGACTGTAAATACATCTGTGCTTTTTTGTGTTAGCCTCATGTCAACTCTGAGAAAATGTGTTTTTGGTGTAAATATGTGACGAGAATATTTGGCCCGAAGACGGAGAATGAGGAGAATGGGGATAGACTTTGTTCATCTGCAAGTCTGAAACATAAAGACGCTAACATGAGCTTCAGAGAGTACAGTGATGCTAACATGAGCTTCAGAGAGTACAGTGATGCTAACGGGAGCCTCTGTGAGTACAGTGATGCTAACATGAGCTTCAGAGAGTACAGTGATGCTAACGGGAGCCTCTGTGAGTACGGTGATGCTAACTTTCCGTATGTCACCGTGAACTAAATAATTAGGGTCTGATTCTGGATGGAGGACATAGGGCTTTATGTGACGGGTTGCCATTGTTGGAAAAAGTTTATTTATTCTTAGGTCTGAAATGACTGTAGCAGCGAAAGCTATAGCTACAGTAGCTCTTGTGTACCTCGGAAGTTAGCGAGAGGCTACGCCACTGCGCGGGTGGGTGAGGGTGGGGGGAGGCACGTTCACAGGCCTGCCTCACACTTTGGTCTTTTTTTTTTGTACATGTTTTCTCTGTGTGAGGACTTCAGGACAGGAGTAATGTGTTCTCTCCTGTGAGCCTCGCAGCATTTTGGACGACTTACAAACAAGCCAGACCTTTTTCACTAAAACATGTGAGCAGCAGTTGAAATAGATCGGTAACTTGTCTCGCCCAGTGGGAGTGGGCAAGACGCTTGTAAATGTGGACAGACGGCGTGAAAAACACAGTTGGTGTTAATGGAAAAAACCATTTCTACTCTGTTTACGTTAGCATGTTAGCCTCGTTAACCGGATGCTACTGAGACAGGACCAGCAGATACATTTCCAAGCACAAGGAATAATCCATGCTGACATTTGACCTGTTTTGGGGTCACAAAAATACACTCAAACAAGAAGTGTCAAAAAGCTTTGTTTTTATTGGAGAGCTACTTTTATAAAACAGAAATGGCAGAGAGCTACTCCTTTCAGCCGTTGTACTACAATCGTAGTCTATATAATAACTACAGCCAATCCACGCACAGTATCCCTGCAGTAAGGTAAACATTTATAGTTCAAATAGACATGACTGAAAAGTGAAAGATTAAAGCAGGGGTCTCCAACTTTTTTTGATTGGAGAGCTACTTTTATAAAAACAGTCATAATACAATTGTAGTCTATATACTACCTTCAGCCAATCCTGGAGAATACACATCAACAATATACCATTAAACCGTACAATCCCTGCATTAAGGACAGGATTCATAGTTAAAACAGACATGTATCGACTCAAAAGTGAATCATTCTGGATCCGTCCGTCCGTTTTCTTCCGCGTTTTCTTCCGCTTCATCCGTTGCCGGGTCGCGGGTCGCATTCTGGATCATTTGTAAACATTTTGAATTATGTGGGGAGCTACCTAAAATGGGGTGGCGAGCTACTGGTAACTCACAAGCCACACGTTGGAGACCTCGGTGTTAATGTCTTGAACCCCTTCCTCTCTGAAAGAGAGCCCCGAGCCACAAGTTGGAGACCCCTGGACGAGGTGAAGGGTGTCCAAACTTTATCTTTGGCCTTAAAAACAGAGGGACCTTCATTTTTCCTCAAACATTTTGGAGGTCATTGCATGCTGAGTGGACAACACTCTCGCCTCTCAGCAAGAAGGTCCTGGGTTTGAATCCTGGTCGGAACAGGGTCTTTCTGAGTGGAGTTTGCATGTTCTCCCCGTGCCTGAGAAGGTTTCCTCCGAGTGCTCCGGTTTACCCTACCACTAAAAACATGCTCACTAGGTTAAATCCTCCAGCTCTGGTCCTGACCAAGAGCATCAACATCTGGACATGGGTTCCCGGGCGCTGTTACTACGGCGACCACTGCTCCTGACGTAAGCCTTAGTGGCATCAGGACGGGTCAAATGCAGAGGATTGAATTGCCCGGGGATTAATAAAGTGCACCTTTACCTTTCCTTTGTGTCTTTAGGAGGCTATTTCATCTTTTAGTTTTTTAGTTCAGATGAATGGATTATAACACTAGCATCATTCTCCTGTTGTTGTACTTTTACTGTGTTTGCAGAAAGTCCTGTCCTCGCACACACTCGGAGCTGCAGGGACTGGATGTGACGCAGCTGCAGCAGTAGTAGCACGTGTGGCCCGTTCGCTCGGATACAAGCAGACAGCCGACCAATCACATCGCTCCGTCAGTGTCCTCCTCTCCTCCATCTCTGCTCCTGTCTTTTCACATCGCTCTGTTCCCGGCTCCATCCCATCCTTGCTTCCCCCACACGCTCTCCTGTCTCTGGACCTCTGTGTGAAACTGTCACCGCCTCATCCATCATCGCCGCAGACCCTGTGAGTTTAACCCTTTGTCGGCCGAGGGTCTGTCGGGAGCTGCAGGTTTTCGTGTTCACCGCAGCGGCTCCGTGCGACTCACTCTGAAGGCTGCAGCATTGGTCACGATCTGCACAAAATCCTACTGAGGAGCTGGAAGAATTCAAAGGATGTTTGTAAACCATAATGTGTATCTGCAAAGGCTTCCCAAAAACCTGCAAAAACACACACTAATTATTATAGTAGTAATGACTGCACACACAACACATCTATTATCAGTTCAAGAGTTCTGTTTTTAACCAAGATGTAAATATTGACAGGTTAGGGCCTGAGTCCCAGCAGGAGGCCAGTCCCTGTGCTCCTCAGAGTCCCAGCAGGAGGCCAGTCCCTGTGCTCCTCAGAGTCCCAGCAGGAGGCCAGTCCCTGTGCTCCTCAGAGTCCCAGCAGGAGGCCAGTCCCTGTGCTCCTCAGAGTCCCAGCAGGAGGCCAGTCCCTGTGCTCCTCAGAGTCCCAGCAGGAGGCCAGTCCCTGTGCTCCTCAGAGTCCCAGCAGGAGGCCAGTCCCTGTGCTCCTCAGAGTCCCAGCAGGAGGCCAGTCCCTGTGCTCCTCCGAGTCCCAGCAGGAGGCCAGTCCCTGTGCTCCTCCGAGTCCCAACAGGAGGCCAGTCCCTGTGCTCCTCAGAGTCCCAGTAGGAGGCCAGTCCCTGTGCTCCTCCGAGTCCCAGCAGGAGGCCAGTCCCTGTGCTCCTCCGAGTCCCAACAGGAGGCCAGTCCCTGTGCTCCTCAGAGTCCCAGCAGGAGGCCAGTCCCTGTGCTCCTCAGAGTCCCAGCAGGAGGCCAGTCCCTGTGCTCCTCCGAGTCCCAACAGGAAGTCAGTCCCTGTGCTCCTCAGAGTCCCAGCAGGAGACCAGTCCCTGTGCTCCTCAGAGTCCCAGCAGGAGACCAGTCCCTGTGCTCCTCAGAGTCCCCGCAGGAGGCCAGTCCCTGTGCTCCTCAGAGTCCCAGCAGGAGGCCAGTCCCTGTGCTCCTCAGAGTCCCAGCAGGAGGCCAGTCCCTGTGCTCCTCAGAGTCCCAGCAGGAGGCCAGTCCCTGTGCTCCTCCGAGTCCCAACAGGAGGCTAGTCCCTGTGCTCCTCAGAGTCCCAGCAGGAGGCCAGTCCCTGTGCTCCTCCGAGTCCCAGCAGGAGGCCAGTCCCTGTGCTCCTCCGAGTCCCAGCAGGAGGCCAGTCCCTGTGCTCCTCCGAGTCCCAGCAGGAGGCCAGTCCCTGTGCTCCTCAGAGTCCCAGCAGGAGTCCAGTCCCTGTGCTCCTCAGAGTCCCAGCAGGAGGCCAGTCCCTGTGCTCCTCAGAGTCCCAGCAGGAGTCCAGTCCCTGTGCTCCTCAGAGTCCCAGCAGGAGGCCAGTCCCTGTGCTCCTCAGAGTCCCAGCAGGAGGTCAGTCCCTGTGCTCCTCAGAGTCCCAACAGGAGGCCAGTCCCTGTGCTCCTCAGAGTCCCAGCAGGAGGCCAGTCCCTGTGCTCCTCAGAGTCCCAGAAGGAGTCCAGTCCCTGTGATCCTCAGAGTCCCAGCAGGAGGTCAGTCCCTGTGCTCCTCAGAGTCCCAACAGGAGGCCAGTCCCTGTGCTCCTCAGAGTCCCAGCAGGAGTCCAGTCCCTGTGCTCCTCAGAGTCCCAGCAGGAGGCCAGTCCCTGTGCTCCTCAGAGTCCCAGCAGGAGGCCAGTCCCTGTGCTCCTCAGAGTCCCAGCAGGAGGTCAGTCCCTGTGCTCCTCAGAGTCCCAGCAGGAGGCCAGTCCCTGTGCTCCTCAGAGTCCCAGCAGGAGGCCAGTCCCTGTGCTCCTCAGAGTCCCAGCAGGAGGCCAGTCCCTGTGCTCCTCAGAGTCCCAGCAGGAGGTCAGTCCCTGTGCTCCTCAGAGTCCCAGCAGGAGGCCAGTCCCTGTGCTCCTCAGAGTCCCAGCAGGAGGCCAGTCCCTGTGCTCCTCAGAGTCCCAGCAGGAGGCCAGTCCCTGTGCTCCTCAAAGTCCCAGCAGGAGGCCAGTCCCTGTGCTCCTCAGAGTCCCAGCAGGAGGTCAGTCCCTGTGCTCCTCAGAGTCCCAACAGGAGGCCAGTCCCTGTGCTCCTCAGAGTCCCAGCAGGAGGCCAGTCCCTGTGCTCCTCAGAGTCCCAGCAGGAGGCCAGTCCCTGTGCTCCTCAGAGTCCCAGCAGGAGGCCAGTCCCTGTGCTCCTCAGAGTCCCAGCAGGAGGCCAGGTCTTGTTAACTACCATCGGTAAATACAAATGACATTGGTCGATAGTGGCGCGTGCAAAGAGTCACCAGTAGAGGGCGTCTGTGCACTTTCCTCAGTAGCAGAAACACAGAAGATGGCGGTGGTCGTGTGGCGATATTTTACAGAATCAGAAAGATGATCAGTGAGATGTCAAGATGGAGGACTGCTAGACAATCCGTTACCGCAAAGAATCTCGTTGGACAGTTGAAAAGCCACCAAGAAAGCACAAACCTAGCAAGTGATAAATAACAACAAAAAACCTAGGCCAAGTTATGTTAATTATCGGTATCGGCCAAAAATTTCACAATCGGTCCATTCCTACAAAAAATTGATTCTCTCTCGTCCTGGGAGCCTCCAGTTTGACTTTCCAAGACTTATTTTTAAATTTGAGTTTGTTTTGACCCTTTCTTGTCCCCATAATGTCCGATAATCTCTGTCATAAAGCCATCGTCTTCTTTCCTACAATAACACCACAGTAATAACACAGAATCTGTATGAATGTAAACGTCAGAAACAAGGTCACATGACGTCTGTGCAGCTCATGTGGGTCGATCCATATCCTGCATGTTTTACTACAGACGCAACAGGAATCCATACCGTGGATGTAAACAAGAGGAGAGAGAGAGAGACAGACAGAGAGAGGGAGAGAGAGACAAAGAGAGAGAGAGAGACAGGGAGAGAGAGAGAGAGGGAGAGAGAGACAGAGAGAGGGAAAGAGAGACACAAATAAAGAGAGAGAGAGACAGGGAGAGAGAGACAGAGAGGGAGAGAGAGAGGCAAAGAGACAGGGAGAGAGAGAGAGAGACAGACAGAGAGCGACAGAGAGGGAGAGAGAGAGGCAAAGAGACGAGAGAGAGAGAGAGAAGGAGCGACAGAGAGGGAGAGAGAGAGGCAAAGAGACAGGGAGAGAGAGAGAGACAGGGAGAGAGAGAGAAAAAGAGAGAGAGAGAAGGAGCGACAGAGAGGTAGAGAGAGAGGCAAAGAGACAAGGAGAGAGAGAGACAGACAGAGAGAGCGACAGAGAGGGAGAGAGAGAGGCAAAGAGACAAGGAGAGAGAGAGAGAGAGACAGGGAGAGGGAGAGAGAGACAAAGAGCGAGAGAGAGAGACAGGGAGAGAGAGACAGAGAGAGGGAGAGAGAGACAAAGAGCGAGAGAGACAGGGAGAGAGAGACAGACAGAGAGAGCGACAGAGAGGGAGAGAGAGAGGCAAAGAGACGAGAGAGAGAGAGACAGGGAGAGAGAGAGAGAGAAGGAGCGACATAGAGGGAGAGAGAGAGGCAAAGAGACAAGGAGAGAGAGAGAGACAGGGAGAGAGAGAGAGACAAAGAGAGAGACAGAGAGGGAGAGAGAGAGGGAAAGAGACAAGGAGAGAGCGACAGAGAGGCAGAGAGAGAGGCAAAGAGACAAGAGAGAATGACAGAGACAAGGAGAGAGAGAGAGAGACAGAGAAAGAGAGCGAGGGAGAGAGAGAGAGAGAGATACACACACACACATACTTTATTGATCCCTGTAGGACAAGTTCAGGAAACAAAGTAAAATGCTAAATGCTTCATTAGCATTTTTTAAAAGTTTGCATTCCTCCAGTGGGTTTTCACCCTCCAGACAGGGCCTTTCTGAGTGGAGTTTGCATATTCTCCCTGTGTCTGCGTAGGTTTCCTCCGGGTGCTCCAGTTTCCAATTCCGTTAAAAACACGTACAATAGTGTGTGTTTATCGTCTTGCTTCTGGGGAGAATGGAAAACTACTACACTCAAAATTGGTAAGCGATTATTGTTTGACCTTAGTCTGTGAAGTGCGCTATAGATATAAAAATACATACTTACCTAAATTGACTACAACAAATGAAGAGTACCCATAACGTCAATTAGAAAAGCTCGAAAAATGTCCTTAAAAGTTTAATTTTGGATAAATATAAACCATGCACAGTCCATACATAGCCAGTTATACAGAGGACTGAGGGGAGAGCAATGGCGGCGCAAAACTCAACCTCAAATAACTCAAGCCAACACGTTTTCCCATGTATTTTTTAACTGTAAATGACCAATAAATCTAGACTTGAATCTTGAATTGTCATGAATCATAATTGTACGTTACACATGACAGCTAGCGCCCGCCTAGTGCCTCCGAAACCGCCGTCGTGTATAAAAAGCGTCACGTTTTGGTCGACTCCCTGTGATTTAGCGACACATACTCGGAGCTAATCCATCTCCCTCACACTGCGCCGGGGGAAGGGCCGGCGTCGCCACTCCGCTCTCCGCTGACACTTTTATTCTCCAGGTCATTATTTACACGGCTATAATTCTGGCCGTAATATTCACGTGTCTGAGAGCGGCGTGTTCCTGATGAAATGAAAACAGGTGTCAAGGGCCCTTTAACTTTGAAATAGACCCTTTGGACACGCCCCGAGAAGCTTGAAAAACTGCACTATCTCAAAAGACCTTTTTCTTACCGGACGCTTGCATCGCTGTGTCACATGATCTGGGATTTGGGGTTAAAGTAGCCGTATGTAAGGGCCCTAATCTGTCATCGTTAAAGGGCCCTAATCTGTCATCGTTAAAGGGCCCTAATCTGTCATCATTAAAGGGCCCTAATCTGTCATCATTAGAGGGCCCTAATCTGTCATCATTAAAGGGCCCTACTCTGTCATCATTAAAGGGCCCTAATCTGTCATAATTAAAGGGCCCTAATCTGTCGTCATTAAAGGGCCCTAATCTGTCGTCATTAAAGGGCCCTAAACTGTCATCATTAAAGGGCCCTAATCTGTCATCATTAAAGGGCCCTACTCTGTCATCATTAAAGGGCCCTAATCTGTCATAATTAAAGGGCCCTAATCTGTCATCATTAAAGGGCCCTAATCTGTCGTCATTAAAGGGCCCTAAACTGTCATCATTAAAGGGCCCTAATCTGTCATCGTTAAAGGGCCCTAATCTGTCATCATTAAAGGGCCCTAATCTGTCATCATTAGAGGGCCCTAATCTGTCATCATTAAAGGGCCCTACTCTGTCATCATTAAAGGGCCCTAATCTGTCATAATTAAAGGGCCCTAATCTGTCGTCATTAAAGGGCCCTAATCTGTCGTCATTAAAGGGCCCTAAACTGTCATAATTAAAGGGCCCTAATCTGTCATCATTAAAGGGCCCTACTCTGTCATCATTAAAGGGCCCTAATCTGTCATAATTAAAGGGCCCTAATCTGTCATCATTAAAGGGCCCTAATCTGTCGTCATTAAAGGGCCCTAAACTGTCATCATTAAAGGGCCCTAATCTGTCATCATTAAAGGGCCCTACTCTGTCGTCATTAAAGGGCCCTAATCTGTCGTCATTAAAGGGCCCTAATCTGTCATCATTAAAGGGCCCTAATCTGTCATCATTAAAGGGCCCTACTCTGTCATCATTAAAGGGCCCTAATCTGTCATAATTAAAGGGCCCTAATCTGTCATCATTAAAGGGCCCTAATCTGTCGTCATTAAAGGGCCCTAAACTGTCATCATTAAAGGGCCCTAATCTGTCATCATTAAAGGGCCCTACTCTGTCGTCATTAAAGGGCCCTAATCTGTCGTCATTAAAGGGCCCTAATCTGTCATCATTAAAGGGCCCTAATCTTTTTTTTTTTTTTTTTTTATCTTTATTTGAATTGGGACAGTGCACATTCATCAACATGTGTTTTTAACATGTAAATGTGCCAGAGTTAGCCATGTAGGCTAATTTTCATCCGTAGTCCCATGGCAGGTTGATATTAAGACAGATAAAGCATACAACAGGCACACACAGACACACACATACAAACCCACACACAGACACACACCATCACAGAGACATAACAAAACAGGGTATGTAACATTTGGTAAAATATGTAAAATAGATACATTAGCACAGATAAAAGATCAGAGGGACAATACACAAGACACCACAGTTTTCCATACAGCAAAGTATCAATGGTTGTGACTTTAAACCATATGTTCACATTTTTGATTGTCCACAAGCCACTTCTTGACAGAGTTTTTAAAAGTGTGGATTGAGGTCAAGTTCCTCAGTTCTGTTGGGATCGAGTTCCAGGAATGTGCTGCGCGAACTGAGAAGGCAGATTGTCCAAATAAAGTCTTTCTGAATGGGATTTTACAATCTCCTCTGCTTGATGATCGCGTATTTGAGTTTACATTCAGCTGTAGGAACTCCTGCAATGGGGGGGGGGCAAGCCCATTTAGAATTTTATAGACCATAATTACGTCTGAATACATTATCAAATTTTCCCACTTCAAAAAATGATGTTTGGTAAAGACTTTGCAATAGTGATATTGGATCTGTCATAATAAGCTGCTCTTTCTACTTTTCCACTACATGTTTTGGTCTCTCGAGCTCGAAGCTACTGGCTCTGCGGTGAAAGCTGATTGGAGGAAACTCAACTCAAGGCCAAAGATGGACTCTCTCTCATAACTCACAGACTCTCAGTTCACCAGGTGCGGGACTCCCCCCTCCTACTACACTGTCTGCCTCTCTCTCTTTCAGTGTATGGTGGTCTCCCCCCCACCCCCCACCCACACCCCCCTCTGAGGCTGGTCGGAGGAGCAATGTCCCATCAAAAAGATCTGCATGTTTTCTGCATGCACTGTTTCCATCAAATAATGTCTGTTGAAATATATGGTTTTTTTGCTCTCTGCTGTTGAATAACTGTCAAAAGGATGAAACCATTATTTTTCTTCTTCTTCTCCTCCTTCTTCTCCTTCTTCTTTTCCTCCTCCTTCTTCTCCTTCTCCCCCTTCTTCTCCTCCTCTTCTTCCTCCTCTTCCTGATCCTCCTCTTCTTCTTCTTCTCCTCCTTCTCCTCCTCCTCCTCTTCTCCTTCTTCTCCTTCTTTCCTCCTCCTCCTGCTCTTCTTCTCCTTCCTCCTCCTCTGATTGTGGACTTCAGGAAGAGCACTGTCCCCCCGCCCCCACCCTCCGTGATGGACTCCCCCATCACCTCTGTGGAGTCCTTCCGTTTCCTGGGCACCACCATCACCCAGGACCTCAAGTGGGAGCCGACCATCAGCTCCCTCATCAAGAAGGCCCAGCAGAGGATGTACTTCCTGCGGCAGCTCAGGAAAGCCAAGCTGCAGTTCTACACGGCCATCATCGAGTCCATCCTCACCTCCTCCATCACCTCCTCCATCACCTCCTCCATCACCTCCATCACCACCTCCTCCATCACCTCCTCCATCACCTCCTCCATCACCTCCTCCATCTCCTCCTCCATCACCTCCTCCATCACCTCCTCCATCACCTTCTCCATCACCTCCTCCATCACCTCCTCCATCACCTCCTCCATCACCTCCTCCATCACCTCCTCCATCACCTTCTCCATCACCTCCTCCATCACCTCCTTCATCACCTCCTCCATCATCTCCTCCAGCACCTCCTCCATCACCTCCTCCAGCACCTCCTCCATCACCTCCTCCATCACCTCCTCCATCACCTCCTCCATCATCTCCTCCATCACCTCCTCATCACGGGCAGCACGGTGGCTGAGTGGATAGCACTCTCGCCTCTCAGCAAGAAGGTCTTGGGTTCGAATCCCGGTCGGACCAGGGCCTTTCTGAGTGGAGTTTGCATGTTCTCCCCGTGTCTGCGTAGGTTTCCTCCGGGTGCTCCGGTTTCCCCTACCACTAAAAATATGTCCAATAGTTCTGGAATGCGCCTCCTGTACTGGCCCCGCTCCCATCTCTGTGTGGAGTGAGAGACAAATGCCCAAAAATTAACAATTGTAAACCGCTTTGAGACTCAGATCTGTGAAAGGCGGTATATAAATAAAAACTTACTAACTTACTCATCACCTCCTCCATCACCTCCTCCATCACCTCCTCATCACTTCCTCATCACTTCCTCCATCACCTCCTCCATCACCTCCTCCATCACCTCCTCCATCACCTCCACCATCACCTCCACCTCCTCCATCACCTCCTCCATCACCTCCTCCATCACCTCCTCCATCACCGTGTGGTTCGCTGGAGCCACAGTCAGGGACAAACAGAGACTACAGTGCATTGTGCGCTCTGCAGAGGAAGTGATCGGCCGCAGCCTTCCATCGCTGCAGGACCTGTACGTCGCCCGAGCTCCAGGCCGGGCTGGTCGTATCACAGCCGACCCCTCTCACCTGCATATGGACTATTCCAACCACTCCCCTCTCACCTGCACATGGACTATTCCAACCACTCCCCTCTCACCTGCACATGGACTATTCCAACCACTCCCCTCTCACCCTGCACATGGACTATTCCAACCACTCCCCTCTCACCTGCATATGGACTATTCCAACCACCTCCCCTCTCACCTGCACATGGACTATTCCAACCACTCCCCTCTCACCTGCACATGGACTATTCCAACCACTCCCCTCTCACCCTGCACATGGACTATTCCAACCACTCCCCTCTCACCTGCACATGGACTATTCCAACCACTCCCCTCTCACCTGCACATGGACTATTCCAACCACTCCCCTCTCACCTGCACATGGACTATTCCAACCACTCCCCTCTCACCTGCACATGGACTATTCCAACCACTCCCCTCTCACCTGCACATGGACTATTCCAACCACTCCCCTCAGGCAGGAGGCTGCGGTCCATCAGGACTAGAACCTCCCGCCACAAGAACAGTTTCTTCCCCTCTGCTGTTGGACTCTTGAACACTTCTTAACCTGTCCCCCCGCCCTTTATAAAGTCACTTTACTGCCCATCATACGTCACTTTACTTCACTGTACTGCTGTCACCTTACATTGTGTGCACCATGTGCACTTGTATATTGTAAATAGTAACTGTAACTCTATTTTAATTTTACATTTATTCCTTAGAAGTGTTTTTTATTCTTTATTTGTACACTCTAAAAAAAAATGCATTGGCAAAACTTAATAAAATTGAGGCAGCATTTTGCATGCATCTTTTTAAGTTTTGCGAACAAGACTGTGTTTTAAGTATTCTTTGTAAGTCTTTTATCATTGGTCCAGCACAATTTTTTCAATACCACCAACTTGGATAATTGAGTTATAAAGACACTTTGTAAAGTATATTCAGCAAGTGTTTTAGCATCAGTTCAACTTAATTTTAACAATACCACCAACTTAAATAATTACATTGAAAATAAATCTTTTTGAGTATATTCAACAAGTGGTTTTCAGTCAGGAATATGTAATCTTTATTCAAATACCATCTTTCAAAGATTAGATTCACAAAACGGTTCACAATTGTTAATTTCAGGCAGTAGTCTCTCACTCCACATATATATGAGAGTGGGCCAGCACAGTCACTGGTAAACATGTCCACCTTAAAGTATCTGTTCAAAATTGAAGGGTGACACAGGGAGTATAGGACTGCTTTGGCTTGGCCCTCTCGATCATGGTTGATAAAAATAAATACAATTACTTATTTGGTCAAATTAGTTTATTCAGAATGTTGCTCAAGTATTTTGCTTTAGGACTTGCTTCATATTCAGTTTTAAAATTAATGCTCAAATGTAGAATTTTTAAGAAGTTTATATTTTTCGCTGCAATGCATTCTGGGTAGCGTCACTGCTTCGCCACATTTTGTTTTCAATCAACACAATATATTTATTTTGAATCAACTCAATATATTTATTTTGAATCAACTCAATATATTTGTTTTTTCATTAATGGGCCACCAGGCTTACAAGAGGATTTTCATGTTGAGCAAACTCAATACTTCTCCGTTGTCCAGTTATGCCAGAATATCAAGTTCAAATTTGTTACAAAAATGAGTTAGGATTCTTGTATTAACTTTTAATTGAGACCGACATGTTTAAAATGAGTTGCGACCACACTAATTTAAGTAAAACTGGCAAAAATCTATTATTGAGTTTAGTTTAGTATGTATTTTGAGTTCAAAATACTAACCACCTGAATCATTTCTTTGAGTGTACAATTTCCAAGTCTGTGACCTCCTGTTACTTACGTGGCAATAAAAATGATTCTGATTCTCCTCTTCTTCTTCTTCTTCTTCTCCTTCCTCCTGCTCTTCCGCTTCTTCTCTCCTCTCTGTGGTTTCGGATCAGAATCTGGGGCCCAAAGGGTTAACCCAGTTTGTTGTTTGCTTCTTGTGTTTGGCACAGCTGTTATTTCTGCTCCATTTGGTCCTGGTACACCTCGGTCACCTAAAACATCTGGGGCGACACTGTTCCTGCAGGATTTGTTTGAATCGATGTGAAACGTGTAAATTATAATAGTTTTGTTGTTCTAACACATGGTTATTGGATCGTCACTTTGGCCATTTACTTTATTATCTCTTAAAGTCCCCGGATATTTATGAACATTTATGTACTTTTGTCATCGGGATACCACCACCTCCTCTGTGTTATCATTCTATGTGGTTGGAGCAGGACAGGTCACAGCAGCAGAGGTGGAGTATCCTCTGGGTGGAGCAGGACAGGTCACAGCAGCAGAGGTGGAGTAGCCTCTGGGTGGAGCAGGACGGGTCACAGCAGCAGAGGTGGAGTAGCCTCTGGGTGGAGCAGGACAGGTCACAGCAGCAGAGGTGGAGTAGCCTCTGGGTGGAGCAGGACGGGTCACAGCAGCAGAGGTGGAGTAGCCTCTGGGTGGAGCAGGACAGGTCACAGCCGCAGAGGTGGAGTATCCTCTGGGTGGAGCAGGACAGGTCACAGCAGCAGAGGTGGAGTAGCCTCTGGGTGGAGCAGGACAGGTCACAAGGTGGAGTAGCCGCTCAGTTCAGAACATTTTCTCTGCTCTAGTCCAAAGTAAAATGCTGAAAGCTTCATTAGCATTTTTCAAAAAGTTAGCATTCCTCCAGTGGATTTTCATCTGATCCACTTGGTTAGGACCATAAATCGGCCCCGCTTCGGTCTGGACCAGTGTAAAACCATGAAAACTGTGCTGCAGCACAATCACAGGTAGAAAAAAGCAAACAAAATAATAACAGTAAAGCACAAAACAACAACTGTTTCAGAGCTATTCAGGACCTGCTGCCGTTTTCCAGCGCCTTCAAAAGTGATTTAAGGCAATACCCAGGGACCATCAACAGAGATGAGGGGGCCTTCACCTTGGCTCACACTTGGGACTCACTTCTCCAGAGGCCACAGCCAACAGCAGGGGGTGGGGTCAGCGGGGGCTGGGGTCAGCAGGGGGCGGGGTCTGCAGGGGCTGGGGGCAGCAGGGGGCGGGGTCTGCAGGGGGTGGGGTCAGCGTCAGCAGGGGGCGGGGTCCGGTAACAACAGCTGTTACAAATTACATCCTTTGTTTTTTATTTAAATAACCTTTTAAAAACACTTTGTGTGCAGGGCAGGGCCTGGTTAGTGCTGTGATGGGAGACGTCTAGGAAGACCTTGGGTAATCATAGGCAAGGCACTTACATTGCCTAGAATGAGTGAGTAAATGGCTTGTGTCGGGAGGGGCCGATGGCACAGACTGGTTGCCTCGCTTCTGTCAGTGTGCCCCAGGGCAGCTGTGGCTACAGTAGTAGTTTATCACCACTGTGTTTGGAGAGAAATAATAATGATGTGAAGCGTCTTTGAGAGTCCTGAAAAGTGCTGAATAAAACGAATGCATTTATTTCCTTTCTGTTTCCTTTTTGTTTATTTTTGTTAACGTTGCCGTTGTTGTCCTGGACCTGTGTATAATTTCTCAAACATCCATGAATTATCTCAAAACATAAAATGTAAAATAGTGTATCGTTCACATAATCAGGACACATCACCTCTGAGTGTGTCTTTGTGTTGCTATTTGCAGTAAATGTGTGTACTCCTGCCCCGGCGTATGTAAGAATGCAGATGATTGTTGCCGAATCTCGCTTCTCTGTCCTACTTTTCTGCAGTTTTGATTTCTGGCTTCGTTCAAAGCTCCATTTTTAAAGACGCACCGCAGATCAGAGAGCAACACTTTACACAACCTCAGTCACTTCACCGTCCTGCGGGATCCACACACACACACACACACACATGCACACACAGGGAGACACACACACACACATCAAACACACAGGGGCAATCACACACACACACACACATAGACACACACAAATATATACTTAATTGCACACAAGCACACACATTTATAGGGAGACGCACACACATGATACACACAGGGAGACACACACACGCACATCAAACACACAGGGGCAATCACACACACACACACATAGACACACACAAATATATACTTAATTGCACACAAGCACACACATGTATAGGGAGACGCACACACATGATACACACAGGGAGACACACACACGCACACACATATATAGGGGCACGCACACCCACACACACACACACACACACACACACAGGGGCAATCATACACACACACATGCGGAAACGCAGGGACACAAATATATACACATACAGGGAAACACACACATACACATAAATACACACACACATGTTACACTAACACACAGGGACAATCACACACACACACAGTCACACATGCGGATTATAAGTGGACACACACAAATATATACGTAAATGCACACAAGCACATACTGTATATACATACACATACAGGTAAACACACCCGGGCACACATAGCTATATACAACACAATCACACACATGTATAGGGAGACGCACACATGATGCACACAAATAAACAAACAAATGCACACAAGCACATAGTACACACACAGAGACACACTTACACATTGAAATATACATACACACAATAACACACAACAGGACACACAAGCACACAGGGAAACACATAGACACACACACATGCACACACAGACACATGCAAAGGCACACACACAAATCTACACACAGAATTGCAGACAAGCACGTACAAACACATGCACACAAAAACACATACACATTAAAATAAGCATACACACACACAAGCACACAGGGAAACACACAGACACACAATGGCGAATCGACACACTACTGTTGTGATTTAGTGTCATACAAAACACACACAAAAGAATGAAACCGTATATTCCCAAGTCCCGTTGTCATGGCAACCCACAGAGAGTTCCCCACAGATCTGCTTACGTAACACACTCACTGATACAAATAACACACAATCGACCTTTCACTGTGCGACACATTCACTCATTCATTCAATAACGCCGCACTAAACCTGTCTGCGTCCTGACAAATCACACCTTCGTTTACATACACACAAACTCCCGCGGATCCCACAATAATTATCGACTACGGCGCCGTCAAACGAACAGTGATTAAAGTCGGTCTGCGGGGCACGGTGCAGGACTGGCTCGGGGAGGTATTGGCGTGCGCTGTGAGGGTCAGGGCCTGGGTCTGTGGCCTGTTTCATACACGAGAGCGGCCTATCGATCACAAAGCAGATGATGGCAGCGGGTCGATAAAACTCACACTGGGGGATGTCACGGCAGAAGACACAGCTCATGTTTTGGGTTGGGACCAGTGTGGGGGCGGGTGACGTACTTGCAATACCACTCCGGGCCTGTGGGGGCGTAAACAGAAGGAGAATAACCCAATGCTTTTGTACGGAGTCTTTCTGGTTCTCGGAAATATCTTTAAAGGATGGTCCAAAAGTGGCTCTTGGTCCAAAAGTAGCTCTTGGTCCAAAAGTGGTTCTTGGTCCAAAAGTGGCTCTTGGTCCAAAAGTGGGTCTTGGTCCAAAAGTGGCTCTTGGTCCAAAAGTGGCTCTTGGTCCAAAAGTGGCTCTTGGTCCAAAAGTCAGTTTTATTTATCCCTAAATCACAGCAGCAGTCGTCTCAGAGGAGTTTACAAGGTTTTCCGTTCTCCACCAACAGATTAGAGCAGGGGTTCCCAAAGTTTTTAGCCCGCGACCCCCGTGATAAATGCGATGCTCCCCCGTGACCCCCCAACTTCTCAGTCCTTCCCGTTGCATAAAATGAGCACGCATTTCCTTGATTCGGAGGAACGCTTTGTACACATATCACACGTCATGTAAAGTGTAGAGACTCGCGCCCAAATCAGCAAAGACCGTCCGCAAAACACAAGGAGACGAGCGTGACGGCGCGTAACGAGCTGCACTTGCCAGCCCAAAATAAGAGCCTTGGGTATTACCAGTGTGGTAATACCCAACACCAGTGTGGGCGGGTCACGGCTCAAAAGTGACCAAAATGACGTGTGCTGACATGCTGCAATACCACCCCAGGCCTGTGGGGGTGGACCCGGAATAAGAATTATCCAATGCTAACATATAGCATCTTCTTACCTCTCGTAAACGTCTTTACAGGATGGTCCAAAAGTGTCTCTTGGCCCAAAGCTCCGTTCCACATGTGTGTCAATGCTGAGTGTTCTGGACCAGTCTAGTTTAGTCGCTGTGGACTTTAGAAGTCACTCGTTTAATTGAATGGAGCTCTCTCGCAGCTGACGCATGCACAGATGTGTTTTTCCACCATTTTCTTGTGGGCGGGACCACTCGCGGCCATTTTGGATAGCTCCAGTAGAGCAGTATTTTTGGCCCATTTGAACGGCGGAGATAGGCCTGACTCTGTCCGTTAATATTTACAGTCTATGGATGTGACGCAGCAGAGGTGGTTTTTATCTTAATCTGACACATTCTGACTGTGTTAAAACTATTCTGCAACAGGACAAAGCAATTTAGTTTTATTTCAAGAACTGATTCTTTATTTCCTCATTCCAAGTGAGACTTTTCTGTATATTTTTAAAACAAGATCATTTTGCTTTGTCTCATTGGAGTAAGTAATCTTTATTTACAGTTTATAAACCGCCTTTCACAGACCAGAGTCACAAAGCGGTTTACAATTGATATTTATATGTTTTTTTGGCCATTAGTCTGTCACTCCACACAGAGATGGGTGCAGGGACGTGCAGTCAGGGGAGGCAGGGGAGGCAGAGCCTCACCTGCCATTATTGGAAACTAATAATTATTTTAGTTTAAATATATAATTTATATCCACTGTCCTATGCTTTTAATGTATATTCGGCACGGTTCCCATCAGTTTTGATCATTTCTGAAGTCAAAATCGCCGAAATCCCGTTATTCCTATTCAAAGAGACGAGGTGAGGCAGCGCTCCTGCGTGCCTCACCTCAGACCGCTCCCTCACAGTGTGTGTGTGTGTGTCTGAGTGCACTCAGCTCGTGCAGTTGATATATCACCGTTTGTTTCAAATATCCTGCTTTAAAAACATTTTTTAAACTCCTCTTAGTGTTTAGTAGTGTATTGCACGTATGTGTGTACAATTTATATTTAGTTTAAGTCTTTTGATCGTAGATGAACACACAAGGAAAAAGCTTGGCGTGAGGCAGGCGGTATCTGTGCCTCACCGCTAGGGGTGATAGTGAGCATAAAGTTCATACCAGAGTTGCTAACAAACAATCAGCCCAAAATGCTATTTCTTTTGCTGGAAAATGGATGATTTGAATGAAGATTTTTTTTCTCAATTGGACTTTCAAACAAAGAAAGAATTAATATAGACTGGGAGACCACCACTGGACTTACGAGGTTAGTCCGGCTGCGGGGGAGGAGTTTGTTAATCTGTGTTTTATGTTGAACATTGACAGATACCGGCAAAGTAGTGCTGTTCCGAAAAACACTGATTCAAACACTGCTCAAGAGTTCTGCAACTTGTTTAAATTATTGATTATGTTCCTCGCGTCTCTCTCTCCTCGCGTCTCTCTCTCCTCGCGTCTCTCTCTCCTCGCGTCTCTGTCTCTCTGCTCGCTCGCGTCAGGGGAGGCAGGGGAGGCAGAGCCTCACCTGCCATTATTGGAAACTAATAATTATTTTAGTTTAAATATATAATTTATATCCACTGTCCTATGCTTTTAATGTATATTCGGCACGGTTCCCATCAGTTTTGATCATTTCTGAAGTCAAAATCGCCGAAATCCCGTTATTCCTATTCAAAGAGACGAGGTGAGGCAGCGCTCCTGCGTGCCTCACCCCAGACCGCTCCCTCACAGTGTGTGTGTGTGTGTCTGAGTGCACTCAGCTCGTGCAGTTGATATATCACCGTTTGTTTCAAATATCCTGCTTTAAAAACATTTTTTAAACTCCTCTTAGTGTTTAGTAGTGTATTGCACGTATGTGTGTACAATTTATATTTAGTTTAAGTTCTTTTGATCGTAGATGAACACACAAGGAAAAAGCTTGGCGTGAGGCAGGCGGTATCTGTGCCTCACCGCTAGGGGTGATAGTGAGCATAAAGTTCATACCAGAGTTGCTAACAAACAATCAGCCCAAAATGCTATTTCTTTTGCTGGAAAATGGATGATTTGAATGAAGATTTTTTTTCTCAATTGGACTTTCAAACAAAGAAAGAATTAATATAGACTGGGAGACCACCACTGGACTTACGAGGTTAGTCCGGCTGCGGGGGAGGAGTTTGTTAATCTGTGTTTTATGTTGAACATTGACAGATACCGGCAAAGTAGTGCTTTTCCGAAAAACACTGATTCAAACACTGCTCAAGAGTTCTGCAACTTGTTTAAATTATTGTTTATGTTCCTCGCGTCTCTCTCTCCTCGCGTCTCTCTCTCCTCGCGTCTCCGTCTCTCTCTGCTCCTCGCGTCTCCGTCTCTCTGCTCGTCTCTCTGCTCCTCTCTGTCTCTCTCTGCTCCTCTCTCCTCGCGTCTCTCTCTCCTCGCGTCTCCGTCTCTCTCTGTCTCTCTCTGCTCCTCTCTCCTCGCGTCTCTCTCTCCTCGCGTCTCTCTCTCTCTCTGCTCCTCGCGTCTCTCTCTCTCTCTGCTCCTCGCGTCTCCGTCTCTCTGCTCCTCTCTGTCTCTCTCTGCTCCTCTCTCCTCGCGTCTCTCTGCTCCTCTCCGTCTCTCTCTGCTCCTCGCGTCTCCGTCTCTCTGCTCCTCTCTGTCTCTCTCTGCTCCTCTCTCCTTGCGTCTCTCTCTCCTCGCGTCTCTCGCACCTGCGCTTCTTAAAGATGTTTGATGCGGAGCAGAGTCAGCAGCTAGATTTGTTGTGAGATTATTAAAAGAAGCTGGTTCTCTTATCTTTACAGTATATAAAGTTTGTGGATGTCATTGCATTGGTGATTAAATGCTATTTTATTTGAATAATGATTGTAAATCTGACTTTTAAAGTCAGTGCCTCCCCAATCACAAACCTCACCGCACGTCCCTGGTGGGAAGCGCCAGTGACACTTGGAGAGGGGTGATCGGGAAGAGCGGCCCCCCTGATCTGAACCCGAGTGGTGTTCAGTTCTTGGACTTCTGTGCTAGTCACGGTTTGTCCATCACGAACACCATGTTTGAGCACAAGGGTGTCCACCAGTGCACGTGGCACCAGGACACCCTAGGCCGGAGGTCGATGATCGACTTTGTTGTTGTATCATCTGACCTTCGGCCGCGTGTTTCGGACACTCGGGTAAAGAGAGGGGCGGAGCTGTCAACCGATCACCACCTGGTCGTGAGTTGGATCCGCTGGCAGGGGAAGAAGCCGGTCAGACCTGGCAGACCCAAGCGTATAGTGAGGGTCTGCTGGGAACGTCTCGCTGAGACCCCTGTCAGACGGACTTTCAACTCACACCTCCGGGAGAGCTTCTCCCAGGTCCCGGCGGAGGAGGGGGATATTGAGTCTGAGTGGACCATGTTCTCTTCCTCTATCAAAGGTCTCCGGTGGCTGTATGCTAAACGTAGCGCTGGGAGTGCTAGCCGCCATGCTAACTCCAGCCCTCACTTGTTGGTCTTCCCCCTCGTCTGACATTACTGCGCACCTCAATCCCTTTTTCCACTTGACGGACCCTTATTGCCTTTCTTAAAAGTCACACAGTACTTCTGACACCATGTCGTGTTCTGAGGTTGAACAAAGATACGTGGGACAACTGTGTGCTGTTAACATGAGGCTTTACTCAACAGTCTGAATAATGAACCGCACGTGTTACGTCAGGGGCGTCAACAAAGATCATTAGTGAAACAGGATGATACTGTTACATTACAGAATACACCACACCTTCCAATACACACACGGACCAATCACAGCGGAGCTTCCTTGCGGCGACCTTTACGTAGTTAGAAAATTTCGATGCTGCGCGGCAGGCGACGTAAAGCCTAGTTTATACTCGCGCGGCGCGGAGCTTACGGAGGTGACGTGACGTCACTTGCGCAACGCGTTGGTCACCGCAAGGCCCTTACGTTGCCTGCCGCGCAGCATCGACATTTTCTAACTACGTAAGGGTCGCCGCAAGGAAGCTCCGCTGTGATTGGTCCGTGTGTGTGTATTGGAAGGAAGCATGAAGCGGCTGCAGCAGGAGCATGGACGAGGCACTATGGAGCAGAGAGCTTTGTGCTTCGAAGGAAAAGCAGTTTGGGCTCAGAGCCTGATATACAGGAGACAGTGGACTATCTAACATATATATAACTTATATCTAACATATATATAACTTATATCTAACATATATATAACTTATATCTAACATATATATAACTTATATCTAACA